GAGTCAAACGCCCTAACCACTGAGCCACGAGCTCGTTGTCTCGCGTACGACCAGCTGTCGGGGCCCAAGGCAGGGCGGGACAGATGAGTTCCGTTAGCGGTCAAGTAAACGTTCACCAACGAGATGACGCCTAATTATGTATTCGACAACGAATTGCCCGGAAAAACCCGAATACGAGAATTGCTAAGAAACTGATTTACATTGTCCAATAGGTCGTATAGCCATCCTAAACGGATCTTTTAATTTTGTTTTGTAAGATTGACATGTCAGACTTCCCGTAGAATTCTCAAACTCTCTTTTTTTATAGGAAACGCACCGAAAGCAAATATTTTGGACAAAGGTGTACGTTCAGAACGCCGATCACGTACAGTTTTCGGACAGAAACATTTTTTAGTTTGACGCCATGATGCACCGGCCAGAAAGGTTATTAAAGAAATCGCAAGTACTAACGTTGATAAATTGTGGTTCTCTGTTGTCCAGCCTTGTAGGTTTAGATGGGAAATAGGCGAATGTGATAGATACTACGTTAATCAGTTACCGGTGCTGCGTCCACTCTTTGAGGCACATCGACGCCCACCGCACCGTTGATGTCTACGGCGTCAACTGTTGCGTAGAGGCAATTATAATTACTGCTTACCACAATCTCGGCCTTTCTGTACTGCTGGTGAACTTAAGTGAACATACTGATGAAGGGAACGGTGGTTGGTACTTAATTTAATGCAAAAATCGAACGTTACAAGAGTCTTAATCTATTTTATTATCGGAATCTACGAAAAAAGTTAAAAATTGCTTTGTTTACCCATGCATAAAGGATCTTCTAAAACCCTCTTCAGTGATCGGCCAAACATTTGACCACTCAATCGAAAAAATATGGATCTAGCTTTAGTGAACTGGTAAGTAGTAGAAAAGTTGACGAACCGTGGAGGAAAGTTGAGCGTGAGCAACTAAATGTATCGCCTGAAGGCCTTGAAAGACATGGGGTAGTCAAATAAATCTGATTAAATTAGAAAATGCAGGGAAATTAAATACACCGTCTGGTTTATCTGCTTAATGTCTACAATCGTACCCTCTACGTCCATGTACGTACCTACTGGCCAAACGGTTAAACTATATTAACCAGTTATAAGGGCTAATTACGTGAAGTCTACGGGCAAAACCCTGTATTCATGGTCAAATAGCAAAATATG